ATTCATGGCAACACTCCCGGTGTAAACCTGTGGCCTGGTGTAAAAGTGAGGCAGAATATGTAGGCAGAGTTTATCTTTAAAATGTTCCACATTTCCTCAAGGTCAAAGTCTACAGTCCCTAGAGACGCTGCATTTCTCATTCGTGGGGAGCAGTTCTCTGTGGTCACAATGTTTCTGACCTCTTTGTGATCTCGATCCATTTCAAAGATCACTCGTATGTCACAGTGTTCATGCGGGTGAACAGGTGGTCGTTGTCGGTCCTCACGTCTTCTTCTTCTTCTCTTCTTCTTCTTCTTCTTCTTCTTCAGTTTAATGCATATTGCTTTAGTTTTCTTCAAAGGTGTGTGTGTGTGTTTGTTTTGTTTGTTTATCTTTTATTTTTCTTTGACTCTCCCCAGACTCTCCCTGGAGTCCCACACTAAAAGTCTGTGGTGAACAGAGAGAGACAGAGGTGGTGACTATTACCTGCTCAGCTGTCACGCCCTGTCCTCTTCACTTCCCTCGGCTCACGTGGAACCTCGGGCAAAACCGTGATGGGACTGTTGTTCTTACAGACCACAAAATAGTCACGGACGCACAGGGGACATATAACACTACAATCACACACAACGTGACTCTGACAGAAGCCCATCGTGGACTCCTGATATGGTGTAGAGCTTCTGATCATGTGAAAGACGGATTCAGAACTAACCAGACGAGCATGATTCTCAATGTCTCACGTGAGTCCACCACACTTATTATTTTACCATGTTACTTGGTTATTTAAGTGTGTGTGTGTGTTATTTGTCATTTGGATTTATGCTAATATCTAGATCTGTTCAAAGGTGCTGCAGCCCTCAAGCCTATAGAACACAATGACCACATGACAGAGACAAATACTACTACTACTACTACTACTACTACTACTACTACTACTACTACTACTACTACTACTATTACAGTCAGTTAAAATACAGTCAAAGAAAAGCCTCTGACGTCTTGTGACGTCTGTGCTCATGTTGCAGCACTTGGCAGGACTTGCCCAGAGCTCCTATTGCCTCTTCTTCTTCTTCTTCTTCTTCTTCTTCTTCTTCTTGTGACATTGTGTCATTTCATGTGCATATTATTACTTATATGTGTTGTAATTCAATATCCAATAAATCTTTGTTTTTAACCTTTTGTATGTGTAACAAAGTGTAATTTAAAAAAAATAAAAATATATATGAATCATTTTACAACTTGTAAGTTTTGCAGTATCAACAATATGCACTTTTGATCATTATTATGCATAATAATAATAATAATAATAATAATAATAATAATAATAATAATAATAATAATAATAATAATAATAATAATTCAATATACTGGACTCATCTGACACACTTTGGCTCGCTTTGTCTCCCTCTGGTGGTCATTTATATTTAGAATCTGAAATTAAATGTGGAAGCGTATCCCTCTGGGGTTAAAAGTTTCCTAATATAAATGACCACCAGAGGGAGACAAAGAGAGACAAAGTGTGTCAGATCAGTCCAGTATATTGAATTATTAGTATTATTAGTATTAGTAGTAGTATTAGTAGTAGTATTAGTAGTAGTATTTAGTAGTAGTAGTAGTAGTATTAGTAGTTGTAGTAGTAGTAGTAGTAGTAGTAGTATTAAATAATAATATTATTATTATTACAATATACTGGACTGATCTGAAGGACAGCACAAGGGTTAACAAAACAAATGATGCATTATACTTTCTTCATAATTCAGGATAACTACTTTTGAGCTTCTTTCTCACTTGAATTCTTACAAAAACATCAATTATAATTTGCAGTTGGGGTCCCAGGTTTTTCCACATATTTTACTTGACATGGCCTGTTTAGAGACAAATAAAAAAGAGATGGAGTGATTATCTCAACCCAGATTAAACACCTTTACAGGAGTCATCAACAGGAGAAGCTCACAGTGTTAACTAGCACTAAGTTTTGAAGAGAAAAGTGTCAACCCGTCTTTCCGCATTTAACCTAGACCCAAGACGTGCACGTAACACCCCCAATGTTCTAATTTAAAAAATGCTTCGAAATGAATCCAACCAAATTGGTGTGAAGTCTACTCCCCCGGGCGTAGGAGCGAACTCCTCACGAAAGTGCGGTGGTGGTTGACAACAAAAGTTCTGCCATTCAGCGCCCTTCCAGGCACACGAGGCCGAGTGAATGGAGGGGGATTATGTATCGACGGGTGGGGATCAACCAATCCACATCATTTAATTACGGGATCTACCTTCACCACATACATCCGAGCGGGGGCCCGTGACCGGCTCAATGCATCGGCCTGTGCATTGAGTTCCCCCCTGGGCGCAACAGTAACGATCGATACACGATCGATACACAGAGCCCCACAGAGTTTGGTGCGCTGCTTTTGGCTACTGGGGATATTATTACTGGGTCTGAGAGCCACAACGCGGCAAACTCCCGCGATCAACTCTTTTATTTCAGCACGTTTCCTGTGTTTTACAGTTTGACAACTCTCAC